CCCCCCTCCCCCTCCGATCCCCACCCTCTCGACTTACTCTTCGTCGCCGTCGACGTATCCGTTCTCCGTGGTGCGCCCCCCCCGCTCGCTCCCGCACGCGTCCGCGTCTTGTTATCCTCGCCGACCGTCTCTCCGCCTCCGTCGCTCTCGCGTGGTAGTCATAATTTCCTCCCTCTCTCCCCCTTTCTCGTTAGAGCTGACTGCTCGTCTTCGTCGTTCCGCACGGCGCTTCTGCTCGCGACCTCCGTCTCTGTCGTTGTCTATCGCTGCTTCTCCCCTTCATCTCTCTCTCTCTTTCTGCGGCGATTTGTAACTCTCGCTACCTTCGTCTCTCACGGGGATACCCACCGTCTCCTTTTCATCCGCTCTCTCGTCGTCTCTCTTCTCCCCGACCTTCTCTCGATACACACCGTGAATATCTGTCGTCTCCCGCCTTTGCCGGTCCGGCCTCGCCGTTTCGCACGCTATTCTCTTTCCACGTGGAACGTCAGCGTTTACTTTTTTTTTGTGTCTCCACAAGCGTGCTGTACTCCTCGTCTCTTTCGCCTTTCGCCTCGAAATAGCCCCTCCGCGATTCCGGTCCTTTCGTCTCACGGTTCTCATCTCGATAGATTAACTATTGGGACAAAATCTGGTAAAATGATCGCAGTGGCGCGAGAGATAAATTTGCCCGCTGATTCGAGCTTTCGAGACACCCGGTGCGTATACGCCTTCGCCTCCGTCATCCATTTCGGTCCTGATCCACTTCATTCGGCTCTATCTCCGCTCATCTGCGAAGTGCGGCTGTCGCACGTCTCGGAGATGATCCTCTTTTCCCCTCGACCGTGTTTGCCGCCCAGGCCGTGTCTTGGTGAAACGACGTCGGCACACCGCCAGCGAGCGGAGAGCCACAAAGAAGTGAAAGATTATTCGGCACGTTGAGACGCTCGTAAAGGAGACCGGCCTGGGTCTCTGAAAACCTAGTATTTAACGACTTTTGAAGTGTGCCTCCTTGAGTCGGAAATCCAAGAAGAGAGCCGTAGAAGAAGAAAGGACTGGTCTTCTGCGAGAATGCGGCCGTACCTTCCGTACGCTTCCCATGGAAGAACATCGATATTTCAGACTTGACAATGTGAGATGTGACTCCACCGGCTACAGCAACGTTCGAACCTTCTTGAGACTGAAATGGGAACGAGGCGAACGTGAAAGGGTGATACAGCGTTCCTGAAGGAATGGAAATCGACTGAAGAAGTAGAAGAAGAAGAAGAAGAAGCCGATCCCGTCCAGCTCGCGGACCTTATCTGGACCTAAACCTGCTTACGTTCAATCTGGAACCGGTAATGTCCTCGTAAAATCGTCCTAGACCACCCAGACTCTGCGCTTACCTTGAATCTAGTTTCGAGAAAAAGGGACGCGGAAGCACGTGAAATGGGTTGATACTCTCGATAGCGTCTGGACTTGGCACTGGACGCATCCGCTTTACTCTCTCTTTTCCCTCTTACCTCCCCGGATGCTCGGTGTCATTCTCTCGCCGTTGTTTCGCTCGCTCGCTCGTCACGCTCATCGCCGGCGGCACCTCGTAAATCAACCTCTTCCGCGAAGCGCGGACAAAAAAGAGTATTAGTACTCTGGCTAGGATAGAGGAGCGTGCTGCATCTAGGCAACACGTTGACCTACTGTCGCTAATTGTAAGAACTCGGACGAATGCTATTTCAAATTACTTTTTTTTTTAACCTCGGGTTCCGGCAACGCCTTATATACTTCTGTGGTTCTACCTTATTGAGAAACACGTAACAACGCGTATTTTGGATTATGTGGAATGTGTTCAAAACTATGGCTTGATTCATATTGATGAATATGCGATTAAAAAATAAAACCTAGCTAAATGAAATCAAAAGTTTTAACGAATCCTGAACACCTCTCGACTTTTCAAATAACAAACATCTTGCAAACAATAGTAAACAGACTGTCGAACAAAGGATCGTAACATCACTAAACTTATAATATATATAAGTAATAGGGTCGTCTGTCGAGTCGAACCGTTAGTTTTGTTTGAGAAATTTCTAGGATTGTGAGTTCTTAAAAGATGCGATCACGCTCAGCTAATTCGACGTGCGTAAGGAGACTTAGCGTTCACACTTTTTAAATTGTTCTTTGTCGCAAAAGTTCATAGTCTGAGTTCCATGATAATTTGATAATTCGCCAATTACTTGCATTGCTCTGAATAGGTGCGAATTTCAGTATCTCATAAATTTCGCACCACTTGTATTCTTATTGAAAACATCATCTATAAGTATTATATATAGTGTGAATAATTTAATGTAATAAATAGATTAAAGATTGCGCGGTTTGCAGGATCAGATATATGTATATAAATTCACACAAAAATATTTAAACACTAAGGCCGATATGCATAATCAGTTCTTATATCTGAAACTGTCTTAAGTATTTAAGATGTCATAAGCCAATCAGAGAATCGTATTAGCATCTTAAGACATTACTTAAGACGGTTTTAAAATAAGAATGGACTATGAATATTATCCTAAGATACGCTTCGACTGAATGTAGGATTTCTCTTATTTAATTATATTTATTCTAATCAATCCAAGTTCGCGTATATCATAATTGTTAATCAGTAGACATTCAACTTTATCTTGATAGATACAAATACTATAAAAACATCACCTCAATTCCCTCATTTGCAATACATTCTGTGATACATTCCGCTCTTGAACAGAATAATTGTTGCTTAACGGATAATTGTTCTGTTCTTCTCTGAGACTTACAGGTCACGTTGTTGTTGATAGATGTGTTAAAGAAATATCGTTTTTTTTTTTGCCTCTTTTTCAGGCTAACAAACCACTAATGGAAAAACGACGACGAGCAAGGATCAACCAGTCCTTGGCGGCGCTGAAGGCGCTCATCCTTGACAGCGCCCGCCTGGAGAACACCAAGCACAGCAAGCTTGAGAAAGCTGATATCTTGGAGCTTACGGTCAGGCATCTGCAGCGGCAGAGATCGCTCGCTCAGCCCGGCCTGTCCAGGTACAAGGCGGGATACCAGGACTGCTCCAGAGAGGTAAGAATACTCTTCTAATTTTAAAGAAAGCGCGAACACGTAACATTTTTTTTTTAATTCACCAAGGTTTTTAGAGTAAGCATTATCGGCCAGTGAAATTTTAGTTCGACAAAAAAGGAAAGCTGTATTTAAAGATATATCATTCACTTGCCATAACAAGATGTAACTTGAAAATTATTTTATAATTAATTGCAGAAAAAGAACATAAATAAAAAACAGTCTTTTATTCTTCTTTAATTCATAATTATTACATAAATTTAATTATTGCACTTTAGGATTAATATTTTAAAATTCTAATGATTCAAAACTTATTGAAACTCTTTTTCTCTGGAAAACTTTGTTTTTTGAATTGTGTCGTTGCTGTACACACAGAAAAATATATATCGTATGCAAGTAATAATAACTTGTTTCAAGAGAGAGTATTTCAAAAGTTTATATATCTGCAAATCTATCATAGGTTTATCATAAGTATCAAATTTATTCAAAATATATTCTGAATCCTATTAAGTTTATATATAAAAAAAATACTTCAATCAAGATTACTAAATTAAAACAATTTCGATTTGTTTATAACATAAAGTCGTTTGTTTGATTTTAAGAAAAAAAAATAAATTCATATTTAGAATACATAATAATGAGTTTTTCCAAAATTTGTAATAAGTAAATTTAAGATTATTATTATAAAAAAATATTTTTGTTAAATATAACCATTACTTGAAAGAGAGAAAGTAAATTGAGTAGTCACTTTTCTTACCAGGAGAATATTTTTCTGTGTGTAGCAAATGAGTGATATCTTTTCTGTTTCGATAAACCTGATTGATACCATATCTCTGAGAACAAAACGAGAACCGTGTCGGTGAGGCAAGTCTGACGCGGAAAAACGTGGGTTTTGTGCGTCACGCTTGCCATTATACTCCGCACGTTTCGTCACGGGGTAGCACGAGGAAGGGACGCGCGGGCGTGGATGAGGGAGCGGAGAGGGTGGTGAAAAAATTCCACCGCGTCCAGGGAGCGTGTAATCGGAGAACTCGGCGGAACTGGTTCGTGTTACATGACGGAAAGGGATGGGGAAGGAGAGATTCTACTCGGTGGAAGAACCTACCCGAAACCACCCTGCCCCCCCCCCCTCTCTCTCTCTCTCTCTCGTTCCCTTTCTCTTTGGACGACGCGACGATAGGTATCTTAACGTATCGGGTTATCGTCGGGAAGTCTCGCGTGACTCCGCGAAGCTCAATCGCTCGTTCGTTATGGAATGTCCAGTCGCAAAACGAGGGGAAACTCGTTGAAAGCGGACACCCTGTAAGTGCTATTGCGCAGAATTTGCCGGATGAACCTTGCGGTCGGGTCTCCGGTAGAATCAGATAGTCAACCGATCGGAGGAAGTGGGAAGGAAACAGCCCTTTAGGTTTCGGTTTCTCCGCGCGAAGATTCAGCATAAAATGACCGGAATTGTAACTAAAAGGCAATCAATTTCTATATATAGTGAATACTACATTGGCGTATTTTGGTAATTGTGACTCCGATTTGATAATGCTATATAATATTTATCTTTTAATAATAATAATAAATATTTTTGTATATTATATTAAATGTAGTGCCACACGGAAACATCACACTGAGAACAAACTAAATTTAACCAAATATAGAAATTTCCATATTTAATTAGATTTATTCTTATCGGTTTAAATTCGTATCATATTAAATTAATTTAATTAACTTTATTTTTTTGTTGAAGAATGTATGTAGGTTAGATATATAAAAAATTTAAGTTTAATATGTTTGTATCCAAAAATTTAGCAAAATACTATCAAAATAATTATGTAGGGCATTCAAGCACGATCAACAATGCTGCAAAAAAGTTTTGACATTTTAACAACTAGTTTGAGCATTGTACATAATTTTTCTGGTCTATAAAATTATTTTCAGGCCTATATAAAAAAATTCTTAAATATTTTAATAAAATCATTCTTTCCATATATATTTTCCCTTCGGACAGCATTAAAAAAAGCATTCAATTTTAAAGAAATGCAAAATTTTACAAATTTCGTATAGAATATAATATAACTGAAGTGAGAAAGATTATGGTTTTTTGTAAAAATCATAACTTTCTATTATTATATAGAAATTTAACATTTATATGTCAGATTCGTGGCATTTGATTGTTATCCCTCCATCAAATTATATTTTTATTCCCTCTGTTTACGATCCAAGTCTTTTTTTATCAAGCTCAAGCTTTTTTAAATTCTAGGCTTTCAAAAAAGGTAAAAAAATAGAGTTACTTTTTAGCACTCCTATTACATTACCAAATAATTTCTTAATTCAAAAATTTTTGTATTCAAAATAGTATTTGATAAAAATTGAATTTTAACAAAAACGAGGACGAAATTAATTTTCCCAATAAAAGATTGCAGATGGAGATTTAAGTCGTTATGTAACTCTTACATCTTCTGCATTTTACCTTTCTCTCTCGCAATGCGTATTCAGTTAATGATAGCATCAAACAGTAGTCCCATTTACAAGTATCTACCTGTCCCTTGACAAACCCGTTATTCAAGACGTATTTTTTTCCCGAGCACCTCGACCTCGTCTGCACGATACAGCGCGGCATTTCCGTCTTATATCTCCATCGGTACGGCACGACACAGCACAAGCGTGCGGCAGAACTCGAGGCGTCGGCGTCGCGTCGCGTCGAGTCGAGTCGATTGTCGGCTCGCTCGCCTCGACAAAGCGCACTTGTCACGACACAAAGCCCCCGGCCGTGCGCGCTCGTACCTGTCGCGCGACCGCCTTATCAGAATGCTCGCCGATAAAGTCGCCGGTTTCCTCCTACCGCTGGGATACCGCCGATCGAAAGATGCAGCCCGCATGCACGGGGCCGCGCGTGCTAGGAGGTAACCGTGCCCTGGCGTGGTTCCGATGGAGGAACAAATTGGGAAGTTATTGCTATCGTTGAAAAATCACATGTGCGCGGCACGTACACCTATCCTCGGCGAGCGTTTTAATCTTCCGCGGTCTTACGTCGAAGAATAATCACCGTAATAAAACTGTTACATAATTCTTACGAAATTGCTTTTCAAATTTTATTGCAACCTTTGCCGAACCATTTTGTTGCAGCTGCGTAATTATTTTCGAGCAAAATGTTATTCGTATATATACATGTATGTATGTGTGTGTATATATATATATATATATACACGCACGAGTGTTAATTGAAAAGTTCTGAGATTGTATTGTACATATTCCACGCGCAATTGCGTAACGCCGCGATGACGGCCGGCAAGGCCAAGGTCTTCTGCTTACACACCGATATAGAAACCAGTGTGTGCAAGCTTTCACGTTTTATAATTCGCTACATGTTCTAGAATATGGCTCGAGTAAATGTTTCTTTAACTGCACCATAAAAAGGCAGTTACTCGAAAAAGTAATTAGGAAACTTTCAAAGTGTCAAATCAATCGTACAATGAACAGGCAGCAACTCCGAGAGTTCAAAAACGTACAACGGGAACTCTGTGACATCCTCTTTAAGAAGGCGACTGGAGTATCTCTTCCATTCTTGCGACAAAGGAATAAATCAAAACGGTAACGTCGGGTTCTCTTTCAGATGTCATTTAGCCACTTATCTTTCTTGATCATTTCATAATCTCGAAAAACTTGGCGTGAAAGCAAATCTCTTCCTGATAAAAACAAGAAACAGCAGTCGTTTCTTTAAAGAGGATGACACAAAATTCACCACTGAACGTTCTCCAATTGTTTTAAAGCGTAATAAAAAGTGTATGTATTCGATAGATCATTGATACATGAAGGTAGTTTTCTTCCATTGTCGTAGCATCAAAAATAGAACGATACAGGAAATTTATCCATCAGTCCTCATACATTTAAAGAAACTGATTTAATGACGTATACATAAACATGGACGTGAAACTAAAAAATCAACGTGTTAAAACTTATATCTGTTTATTACATTTTTTACTGTAATTTGTTTATTTATTAACAACCGATACGCAAAAATAGGCCTCAGTTAATTCGCCAACTTCGCGCGAGGATTTGGAAATTTCTTTCATGTTTTATTTTTACTAATATAGATTAGCCTTAATCTCGTCTTTTTCTCGTTCTAAAAAAGAAATAGTTAATCGAAAGTATAATTAATTTATATTGGTAGAAATTGATATTAAAACAAAGTTAGAAAAAAAGTCTGATTACATTGATTGAAATTCTAATGAAAAAAATAGATAAATTCCTGGTTAAATCTATTAGAATTCTAATCGAGATAACCAGATACGCCCAATAATAATGACCAGAATTCTGGTTGATACGATCAGCATATATTGGTTCGTTTTCAACCAGAAATTTTTCTCAGTGAATGTAAAATCTTTTAATTTCAACTGCAGAAATAGATCACGTGATGGGAAGGAATCAAATTTCGCAACTCTACGTTCTGGGAAACTAGAAGAGCGTGCCTAAAATTTCGAATGGCGAGTTAAGCGCCGGGCAAAATCACGACGCGTGTGATGTACGAAGCGAGGAAGGAAGGAAGAAAGAAAGACAAAAAGGAAAGAAGTAGCAGAAGTCTACGAGCCAAACTTTGTGGTCTTATAAAACCGGCGGTCGACCAAGGCGACATGTTCTACCATCGCTCGCGGTCTTTCCCATCCTTTCTACGGGATCTCGTCTCATCCGTCGAAAGTATTGTACATTTCTGCTCGTCTCTGCAAGCGCAAAATACTATGCCGTCATTCATTCCTTCCTCTCGAGATGAAGGAGTAAAATGGAAAACTAACGCGGCGAAATATTCGGTATTTCTCAGAAACTCCGGGAGATTGGTAGCGCATGAAGATTAACGGGTTCCGAGAAATTCTTAGCGCAAGTGCGATCGTGTAATAAACTGTAAATCGGTTTCTTTGAAACGGATCTCAACTTGACGGAATTTTAATCTGAAACTAAACCAGTCAGACACTCGACATTGAAGGCCAGTTGTCGAATTTTCTTTGAAATACTCGACT